GATGAAAATTTGTATTTGTTCGCAGCAGAATTGATAGAGGACCCGATCCCTAAAGATATCTTTGTGAAGAAATGAAAACGAATCTGAGCTTCTGATTCAACAATTCCTTCCTCACTTTTCCATATATGTCTTCAAGCAATCCTTTTAGTTTTATTTTGGCATAGCTGAGGTCTGTTTTGGTTTCTTTTTCTCGTACTCCAGTTTAATTTTCTTAAATATTGATGTTGAAGGATGATTGAGACCTAACCTCTATGCTCTTGTGCTTCATTGAAGGAAGTAATGTGGAATAATCGTTTTACCTTAAGCTTAAGGAAGTATAACATCTGAATGCTTGTGCTTCATATTTTTAGATTCCTGCTCTTGTGCTTCATCAGAATGTTTGGTCATAAGGTATGTTTTGGTTGCAAGTTTTTGAGGTGTTCTTTCATATAAACTAATGTGATTCATCCTCATTTTGTGTTATTATTTCAGCATTTGGACAAATTGGATGTGCAAAAAGGAAGTATAACTTTTCATAAGAAAATGGGATGGTACGAATGTGAAAATTGAAAGTTAGGGGTTATGTATGTAAATGCAGGGAATTGCTTATTCTTGTAAGTTTCCACACTTTTTTATGTGCTATGAAGGAAATTTAGGTATTAGTTGAGTAAATATGTGGAGGGTCGGATGTTATGAATATAAGGATGTCGCTCCTCTCCTTCTTACTATTGCTGCTATCTAATTAGTAAAATTCTTTAACTTGTGAAGAGATTTGCAATCATGAAGATATATGTTTAGACATTTATTTTGTGAGTGATTTGCAATGTTCATAAAACTCGCTTGTTTCTTGTGAGCTCAGTTTCTTTGTTTTTGTTTGAGTTGTGGGGAGTTTCATCTTTATGAACCCTCACATTAATTTCTAATCTTTCATTATCATTTTAATTGAAAGGAATATTTTAACTCATCTGCACATAATTAACATTGTAATATTATCATTAAATGTAAAAATTCAAAACTAAAAGGGACTTCTCATGTTAAGCAAAGAAAAAAATAGAGCCCAGCTTTCATAATAATGCATGTTTTTGGAGGGAGAGAATCACTCCAGTGATAACTTTGTGACAATTTCAATTATAAAGATTTGTCTTTTGAAGAACAGCTCTGCTGCTGTTTGCAGAGCTGAGGATGCCCTTTATTAGGTATATATGCAACACCAGCTTTAATTACCAAGGAGAAACTCTTTCTTGATCAACGATGGCAAGTATGCTCAGAGGAATTGAGTGGTATTTATGTAATTATTTATTTGAAGATTGCAGGTGAAAATTTTAAAATATAACTTGTAGAAATTATAAATTGGATTCATTTTTATATCAACATTTGAAATTTGTGAGTATATCAAAATTAAAAATTAAAAATTGATTCATTGTTCGTTGATGATGTTGACTCAGATAATTATATTCACCTTATGCATGTGAGTTATGTTTATATTTTATATTAAGTCGGACAATTATATTAACTCTTGCATTGCCATGCTCTTGCATTTCCTTAATTTGGTTTTGCTCTGTATTAGTAACTTTGCATTGCATACATTGAAGCATAGAAGAGGTGGCATGAGTGTAACAGTTGATGTTTTGAGTGCTAGATCTGTAAAAATTGATGTTTTCTCTTGCTTCATTGTGATATGTTATCTTCCTGTTTTCATTCTTTTTCATATAAATTCCAGCTTAAAATAATTGATAAATGAATTCTTTTTCGCTGCTTTCAGGAAAGATGAGCTCCACAAATTTAGAGACAACCCGTAGAATGTTATGCTACTGCGGACTAGAAACTTCCTTTCTGAGGTCACGGCAGACCCATAGCTACGGTCGACACTTTTACAGATGTCCCCGGAGACTCGCAGAATAGTGTGATTTCTTCCGCTGGGCTGACGGTCAAGTCGATTCCACTACTGGAAGTGATCGCGAATTGATAACATTATTGGATGACAGTTTAGGAGGAGACATAAATCGCCTTCATGTTAAAGACAATATCATTATTACTTGTAATTTTATTAGTTTTTTTTTCTTTTTCTTAGCACTTTTGGTACTCACTGTTAAGTGAGTGGTGTATTTGTAATTTTGTTATGTTTTGAAATGAATTTCTGATTCTAAATTATCAAATATGTCACTTTTATACTTCTGTTTTAAACAGTTTCATTATACAGCGGCAGAATGGTCATTTTTCCAGAAACAGCTGCCCCACAGCTGCTCTCAGACAGCTGCAACAAACAGACAGTCAACTTCCCGTCAGCAGCTTCGTAAGGCAGCGCAGCTGCAGCTGAAAAGCTACAGCTGCGCCAAATAGAGCCTTATTCTACTCCTATGGATAGTCGTCCCATTGTTCATATCACTAAGGAGTCACCTGTTCTGTTGAATGCACCATCTCCTCCTCCCATTGTCCGTGTCCACACTCGACGCACTCATACCAACACTCCTACTATGAATCTCCTTACAGGACCATGACTCCACTCCAGATGACATCCTCGGCATAACCCCCCTCCGAATGAGGAGTTGAGTTCTTTGAGTAGGTACAAAGTCAAATATGTCCTCTATTCTATGGCAAAATGTCTCTTTCTACAGTTTATCGCCGACCTACAGAACAATTGCTACTGTCCTGACGTACCATCGGATCCCTGTCACTATATAGGTTGCTCTTGCTGACCCAACTTGAAAAATGACAGTAATGGAGGAGATGAATGCACTTCGACGAAACCATACATGGGACGTCATAGACCTTCCTCGGGGTAATAAAGTTGTGGGGAGTCGATGGATTTTTAGCATCAAGTTCAACTCTGACGGGTCCTTTGAACACAACAAAGCAAGATTGGTCACCAAAAAATAATCTCAGACCTATGAAGTTGACTATGAAGAGACATTTGCTCAAATGGTTAAGTTGAACACCGTTCAGGTCTTGTTGTCACTTGTGATGAATCTGGATTAGCTTTTATTCCAACTTGATGTCAAGAATGCATTTTTGAATGGAGAACTGACGGAAGAGGTGTACATGTCTCTCCCTCCGGGTTTTAATTCAACCGCCTCTAGAGAGCAAGTGTGTAGGCTACAAAAGTCCCTCTATGGGTTAAATCAGTCCCCAATAGCCTGGTTCAGTAAGTTCACAAAGGTGTTCGTGGGCTATGGTTTTACTCGGGCTCAATCGGATCACACCCTCTTCTTCTGGTATTCCTCCAATGGGCAGGTGGCTATTCTTATTGTCTATGTTGACATTGTTGTTCTTACAGGAAACGATATTCCAGCATTAAAGTCCTTAAATGACATCCTTGTTTCGTGCTTCAAAATGAAGGAGTTGGAATCTCTCTGGTGCTTCTAAGGCATGGAAGTGCTCAGTCATCTCGGGGAATCTGTCTGTTTCAGCGCAGATAAGTGATTGATCTCTTGACAAAAAATAACATTCTTCTGTGCAAAATTATTGTTGTTCTTATGGATCCTAATGAAAAATTATCTGACATTCTCAATGTTGTACCTTTCAACAAGACTGATTATCAGTGTCTGGTGGGAAAACTCATCTACCTCACTCATACTTGCCTCGACATATGTCACGCAGTTGGAATAGTGAGTCAATTCATGCATGACCCCTACGAGCACCAACTCCAAGTTGTCCATCAGATTCTCCACTAAATAAAAGGTACACCGGAATCAGGTTTATTTTTCTTCTGTCACAACTCTTGGTCTATTGCTTATACAGATGTTGATTGGGTCTAATTAGTTCATGATAGGCGTTTCACCTCGTGGTATTGCTCATTTTTATGGGGGCAATCTTGTCATGTGGAAAAGCAAGAAACAGTCTGTGGTTGGCCGAAGCAGTTTTGAAGTTGAATTACGATCTATGTCCTTAGGAATCTGTGTAGCTCTCTGGCTAAGCATTATGCTCTCTGAACTCTGTATGCCAACCTCTGTCTGTTGCAGCTATTATGTGATAATAAGGTTGCGATCAGCATTGCTCACAATCTAATCCAGTATGATCGTATCAAACATGTGGAAATCGACAAATACTTCATTAAGGAAAAGATTGAGTCCAAGAAAATTTGCATTCTATATGTGTTCTCTAGTGGTCAACTAGCACACATCCTCACCAAGAATCTACCCCACCCTTTGTTCGATGGCTTCAAGTTCAAGTTAAACATGACTGACATCTATGATTCAACTTAAGGGAGAGTATTAGATTATACTATTATTATTTATTATTTGATTTTATTCCCTAATTATTATTATTTTTTTTACTTTATTCTGTTTTATTTTCTTTCCTTATCATTTTATTCTGTTTTTATTGATTTTCATTATTATGTCTATTATAATTGAGTTTAAATACCACTTCTATCAATAAAATTGTATTGGTCTATTCAAAATCTCAACAATAAGATATCAATCTCGTGTGAAATTTTAATTAGGGTTCCAATAAAATGGTTAGGTAGCAAACTCACCATAAGGAACAAAAAGCACCAAGCCCTACTACTCTACATTTCAAACCAAGCAAATTATTCCACCAACAAACCAATATATTTTAATTCCAAAGCATTACAATGATAATTATAGATTTTTCAATAGATGTATCATAGTGGAATTCCAAGAGACTTTTTTGTTTAAATGAAGAGTGGGAAGGTCAACTAAATCCTAAATATGTTTTTGGTTCAATGTTTGACACCACCTTCCATCAATTTATGTGATAAAGTATACGTAAATGTAAATAGTCATATATCAAGGTCATTTTTAATTGAATCAAACCAATTTTGAATGAGCCGTCTTTGAGTCTAAATAAGTCGATTTCAATTTCGAGCCGATAAAACTAAGAACTATAATCAAGTTTCAACTTTTAAACATAATTATCAACCCTATTAGAATGGAATCATGCAAGAAAATTAAACTATAATCTTTCCATCAAAGTGTAATAATTCCTTCTAAAATGAAGTTATAAAGTATCATAAAATAAGAAGAATGTAAAGAAAGCAGTTCAATTTTTTGATAGCATACCACTAATTACTTCTCCATCTGAGGGCAATCCACTTGCAAAGTGTACATGTAGCCTTTCCATGCGTTTCAGACCATATTGTAAAATGGATTCTAGGTTCTTCTTATAGGTTCCATGAACACAAACTGCATCACAGATTAACCACTAGAAAACAATGAGAATGATAAAGAAATGTTATAATTATTTTTTACAAAATTTACATACACAGTACATAAATCTCATGTATTTACTTGTCTCACATCTAAAATTTCATATTTACATATATAATACTTCTAAACCTACATGAAAAGGTGCATTTCACTCTTAAACAAGGGTAAGAGTGCTATTTTTGATGTGATATTAATGATTTCAATGCTATGTGTGTAAATATGAAAATTTAAGTGTGAAATGTGTACATACTAAAGAACTATGTGCTATTTATGTAAATGCCTTTAATTTTCTTCAGACTTTACCTTGTAGTTCATCCGCTGATAATATGGGCTTTAACAGACTTTCGGAAGTGACAGTCTACAGAAAAGAGTTTGAAAAGCCCCAGATTAGAATAAGGTTAAATGCCAACCCGAAATGAACAGGTCACCGCAGTAATGCCTTCTCATTGGAAAAACATTTTAAAATAGCATTTGCACAATATGAATCAACAAGGTGTTTGTATCATGCCCAATAATAGAGCATAAAACTACAAATGGTAAAATATTATTTTGAAAAATTAGGCTATTATAATTTTAGTTTTCCCCCGATTGTCTATCAACAGATAATCTGCACAACAAAAAGGCCAGAAAAACAATTCTTAAGTTTAAAAACCAACTAAAACAAAACATCTCTTTTTCAGGTACAACTACTATAGGGCAATGCAAATCAGTAAACATGACCATCCACTTCATTCAAAATCTATAGATTAGTTAATGTAGATAATAGTTTCATCAAAATCATGAGTGGCAAGAGCACCACATTATCGTTCCACTCTTTTTAGGGCTGCATTTATTTAAATCTAGTTTAACAGAGTTCTGCATAAATTTTAGATAAGATTTACATGCATACCACTCAATTCCTATGTATTTACATATCTAACACCTGGACTTCAATTTTTACATGCATGCCACCTTACATACGCATGAAAAGCAGTATTTCACTTTTTCAAGCTTAAAATGGTTGTATTTTTCATGTAATATGAAAGATTTTGGTGGTATAAATGCAAAAAAAACAGGCGTATATATGTAAATTCATAAGAATTGAGTTAAATCATGTTGTGTTTTATTTTGTCATTTGAGCTTCTTCAAGATTTTCACCATTATCTCGGTTTCTTTTGAATCAATGTGAGTGTGATGATCATTTTGCCATACGACGTGCTAGATGTTCTCAAGGACCCAACTCTACAAATAAAATCTCAAACAATTATCAAATTACATTATTTTGAAAGATTGTTGATGAAAAAAAACTCTCTGCATGAATGTGATGTCTTTAATTATGAATGTGAAATCTAAAGAAAACATAAGGGAATCTCATCTGACAATTGGGCTGTCTTTTTTCACTTTATTTTTAAAATCAAATGATCTAAAATTTTTTTTTCTATGTAGGTAAATATTTTGTTAAATTTATTTTAAAATTAATGAAGGGTTTAAGATGTTTTGAGCATTGGCTTAGGTGCTCTAGAAAGTCAAGGTGAGGTCATAGCACCTTATAGATCTCTAAGAAGCATCTTAATCTCAAGGAACTAGGAAATAAAAAAGTGAAAGAAAAATTAAACCTAATGCTGTTCGAACAAGCACTTCCCATTCTTCCAGAGACATTGATTCCAGCTACTTAATGATTCCTTCTACTGACAAATACAATTTCTTTTGATACAAAAATTCTTCATTTTGTAATTTCTAGAAAGCAAAATTTGAACTGTTGAACTTTTCCATCTTGTATCTTCATCGGACATTGCTCCCACTCGAATCAAATTTCTTCAGAAACACCTTCTCTAATAACACTTGTGTTAGAAATGGACCAACGGAAACACCGATTCGAGAGATCCGATTCAGAACTATGAATTGAAGCGCACAAACAAGGAAACACAAAAAATGCAAAAGAACGCTAAGAATTACATGATAACGGGAAAACATCACTGAGGGGCACCACACCAAGAAATTCATTATGAAAAGATAAGAAATAGTATAAATTACACCACATGCAAGCCTCTCTACAATCCTGGAACTCATGAACACTTCTTTCTCTCTTTCGCACAAAAGAAATCATGAAATCCAATATTAGCGCGCACTCACTCTTCTGCTCGCATGCTTTCCCACAATGAAAAATAAAGACTTAAATCCCGAACTGCAGAAATTCTATTAATGGCGTTGATTTTCTAAGTGCTCTAGTTCCAAAGTTGGAAATACGCTTATTCGGGGGCTCGAGCGCCTGCACTGGTGCTAAAGCACCCGACCAGGCACTAGGGCGTCCCAATTACAATGCCTAGCCATAGGGGCGCCAGGTGCAGGTGTTGGATGCATTTCCTTGACACAATCAACCTCTACATATAAAATAGTTTTCTTTTATTCAATGGGTTGGTCATATGAGCAATCTACTCTGGTCCAATCCAAGATCGAGGGTTGCATCATTGTAAGGCAGTCTAATGTTTGGTTGCAGAGGTGCTTCCAACAAACAAGCATTACCTGTCACACTCTTTAACTGTTTATATACATATCACCCAATTTCTATGTATATATATCTCTAACACCTAAATTTGTATGTATACATTTATAACATTTTACATGTACATGAATGTAGAATTTCATTTTTAAATGTTTTTCATGTGATATAAAAGATTTGGATGTTATGAATGTAAAAATTAAAACTTAGGTGTCGGATGTGTAAATTCATAGGAATCAGCTAGTATATGTATATTTTTTATTTACATATGGGACATAAGAAATAATGATAGTTGATGTTGGATGTCAACGTACCATCTATGATTGAATTGCAAATTGAAAGGATGTCAATGTACGACTGAAATTCCTTACATGTATAATTTCACATGATTTCATATATATTTTCTATACAGGGTCTCCAAATGAAATTCACAAAAAATTAATTCCCAGAATGATGATATGTGATAAACATAGAGACACCATAAAGGCAGAGTGTGTTATACATCAAGAATTTATATGACTCTTTATGGTAGTTAACTCTTTGATACTGGAACTAGTAGGAAATTCAATAGAAAACGCAAAACAAACTTTTATTAATACTGAATTAGGGTTACAACACGTACAAACGGAAAGGGAAAACAGACAAACAAAACCAAGGTCCGACTAGGGCTAGAAGGGAAGATCCGAGGGCAGAGTGAAGTCGGCAATGTGGTGAGGGTAGAGGAAGGGTTGGTCGTTGCGAGGCAATGTAGAAGGGGTTCGGTGGCCGGTAGGTGGGCTGGACAATGGCCTGGACAACGAGGGTGGTTGTAGGGA